TGTATCCAGTCCAAACTCCCTCTAATAGTTAGTTCAGTTGCAAAAATTACACTGTCTGTTATACTGTAGTCTTAATAAAATCATTGCTTGCATTGCAGATGTTACTTTCTGTCCACATACATGCATTTTCTATACTGGTTCTTTGAGGTAAAAATACAACACACAGCATTATATACTGAAGTACATATTGCATTACAAAATATCCATTGTGTCAATGGAAAAAACTACAACATGGCAAACTTGTTTCCTCCTCCAGCCTAATGTCTCTGACCAAACTGCTTCACCATCCCATTAGTGCCACAGCAAATACTGGAAAACAGCCCACAAAAATGTAAATTATTTTATTTTGAGGTCTAAAATTAAGATATAGCTAGAACTGCCAAGGTAACTATTTTTCTTTGTTGTCTGACCACTGTATGTTCTTCCACACATGAGCAAATAAAACTGATCATATTTTGGTGGCACACATTCAGGGTTGTGCAGGGAGCAGAGGTTGGACATGCATGAAATGAAACATGGACTCAAGACAAGAACGTTTAGTCTTTAAAGTCTTGAAAGTCTTGAAATCACAGCAGCCACTGATGTTACTGTAGACGTACTGTATGGTCATTTTCTGCAGCGACAGTGCAAAATATTACTGATTGTTCCTTTAATGTCCCCTAATGGTACTTAAGAGGTTCAAGGCTGTTTCATCAGTTTCTCCATGCAGCCATAACAACTGCTGGGATGGGATTTGCTGCTGAGTCTCCAGCGCCACTGAGACAAACACAGTAATATGTTTACTTGATGAGTGGTCTTTTTTAAGCCAGATATCCCACAGAGATATTTTTCAATTGGTCCACTAGAAAAAAGTTTTCACATGAATTTTGATAATTTGGTTGCAAACTTGTGCCAGTAATTTACACTTAAAGTGAGCAAACATATTTTCCTGACCCTACAGAGGCAAAGCGATTACACAGATTTCTAAGGTTTGAACAACTGAACAGCATGACAGCAATGTATGGTGAAGATGAGGCAGTGAGATAATTCATGATGCCAGAGAAATAATTCAATCCATCCAGCCTCATTTTCCCTGTCCTTTCCTTTCCTTCCTGTTTTTACTTTCCTTTAAACTGTTATTTTCCTCACAAACTCTTATTTCCTACTCAGTCACGTTGCTTCCATCCATCATCCATTTTGGCATCATGCATAGTTTACTGTCTTGGTGCAGTGACCTCTGACTCTGACCCCTAGCTGCTGCACTGGCATTCACCGTTAGTGTGGTTCACTTTACTGTTACACTAATTGAAAATGACTTCGCATTCGCTAAATGTTTAAAATGTAAATATTATGACAATTTGTTGATGTCCTGTTTACATCTTGCAAGCATATTAATTTAAAGTGTTTTCCAAATATTTGTGTCATGTGTGATACATGGATTTACTGGAGAGTTTATCACAGTCTGGAGCTTTGAATTGCATTTGACTTTAATTCAGCTGATATTCTCATCTGATTTGTCTTAACAGAAAACAAGAAATTCTGCGTCTTACTCGAGGAGCAGCAGGATACAGGGTTACTGAACATATTGGATTAAATCTCTGCATCTCCTCTATTTATCAATATCCTGCTGATCAGAATAAAGTACTGTGTCAGGCTATTGTACGCAGTAATTAGGTTTATTTTGGGCTCAAATAAAATATAGTGGGCCCATAAGGGTCATCTCACGGTGACAGCACTGATGCTTTGATAAGAGTTTCTAGGAAAATAAACAGGGCTACAAAAAGGATATTAAATATAGCTGGATTTATTTCTCATGAACCAGGCAGATGTTTTAGTCAGAAATCCAGCCTGGTAGAGCTTGTGAGCTGTACTTTTGTTTGTACTTTGGGTGTTTGATGTTAGACAGACGTAGAAAATAGCAGGCTCCTCGTTTCAAGCCGGGGACTGTGGATTTTGGCGGTTGAAATGATAACTGTCGCCAGTATATTTTATCAGCTGTTGCTAGCTATGTAATGTAGCTAATATTATCTTCATGAGTCAGTTAAACGGCTGCCTGTAGCTGACTTTTTCATGTTTCAAGCTGACTCGCTATGAAATGAAAATCCTGTATATGGCTCTAAATATGCACTTGATGGCTACGTGATATCACACTAAAAGATTAAAGCTGTTTGTTCCAAACAAAGCGTCATTGTTTCGTGCTGAGAGCATGACAATAAAGAAACAATATTGTTTGTGGATTGCAATTACTTAGTCCTGGTATTTTAAGTAGATAAGAAAAATCTGACTGTTATTTCATTTTAACCTAGCTTCTTTTAGCTGCCTTGCTTACTTGGAAAAGCTAAAGGTTAGATTCATGCTTTATTCTTCGTGTTTTATGTTATAATTTTAATGTTACAACAGAAAAGCTTTAAAGGAGGAGGACTAACTGATGTTTTTAGCAAAAGTAACGCTGTATCAGACAGTGAATTTGGTTGGGTTTGCTGGTAAAAATGTCCCCAAATCCAGAGCAGGCAGAGCTGCTAATGTTAGCCTTACCTTAACATAAACAATGTACTGCATGTCGTTATCAAGGCTGTGACAGTGTTTCCCATTAATTACCTAGATCGATGTGATTTGTTTCATAATGAGCCAAAAAACTTTACATTTCTCATATTTACATAAAAGACCTCTAATATTTTTTTTTTTTGTTGCTTAAGAGCTGTGTGCGGCGCATGGACTGCTCAGCCCATCCTTGCCCCGTTGTTTCTCTCTTTGACAACGGACCATGTGTCATAGTCAGACTGGCCATCGGGAGCACTGGGAGAAATCCTGCCAGATCAGTGGCCAGGTGGACCTTCATAAGATCCATAAAGTTTCTGGCAGGCAAAAGAAACACCAGCCCTCTCTGTCAATCCAGGTACCAGGAGTGGGCTCAGTGGCCAATTACAATAATCAACCCTTACTGACCTGAGCCAGTATAGCTCAGTGGCAGTATAGCTGGAGGGAAACAAACACTGGGAAACACTGCCGTTGCAGTGTTATGACACTTGCGGCTCTGTCACAAAAGGTTACCAGTGCAGTTCTTGTTATTTTAAATTTCTTGAAGAAACAATCGGAGACTCTTTTGCTGAGACACCATGGTGGTCCATGGTGTGAAAAGGAAGACAACTATTGTGCATGTACACCTGTGCACAGAAGCGTGCATGAACATAGTGTAGGGTTTGGGGTTTTAAAATATGGTCACACTATTGTTATACAGAGTATCACTGTCACTTAAGTCCCATGCAGAGAATCTAAAGACTGACAGGCCTGCTGTGCATAGTTACAGTTGCTAACCTGCGATCGGACAGTCACTGGGGAGGCTTTAAGTGAATTGTGAAGTCAAGGTATGTAACACAATACGTAATGTGATACATACAGTTCCATGCCTGATATGTATTTAACACAGAGCAGAGGAACGTTAATTGAAAAGAGAGTATAACCAGCGTTGGTGTTAATTACAGTCATCAGGTTTACAGCACTTGGGATCGGTGATATATTTATAGTGTGTGATTGAGCCTGTGTCGGCCTGAACATGTGATCAGGAGAACAGCTTCAATTCTCCTCACAAAAGAGCAACCGGTTGAGCGACTGATGGGCCAGTCTTTGAGCAGACCTGTCTGACATAGCCATCAATGAGGTCAGCCTTCTGAGGCTAAGCTTAGGCATAATAATTAATCTTCTTTGACAACATCATCATCCTCAGTGTCACCTAGCAACCATCCACTTGCATTAACACGACCACAAAAGAGGCCTGTCATGGAACGTCTGAGGTGGTGCTCTCACTGGCTATATCCACTAAAACTCACTCAATGGACCTTTTCTATTTGTAAACCTGCATTTTTAGCCTGAATCTAAACTTAATGTCAGTGTACACTGTATGGGACCTTTAAAGAGAGAAAACATTGCCCATCCATGTGATCTTTTCTTACATCTTTGATATGTTTTGTACCATTTTAAGTTCCCTACCTCTGCACAGCAATTATGTTTAGTAATAGGATGGGAAGAAGGGGTGAGAGGGTTACAATCATTTATTTGTTTTCAGTCTTGTGAAAGCAAAAACATCTTCTGGAGACAAAATTAAAGGGAAGGCAGTTTTAAAGTAACTTTCAAATAATGTTGTTGAACTCAATTAGTTCTACCAACCTATCTATCAACCAACTAAATGAAGAGACAAGCAATAGCAACCTCTGTTTTTAAAGTGTGTGCACCCAGGGACATGCACAAATACTCAGACACCCAAAAGGAAGCTTATAACAACATACATTTGACAATGAGAGCATCTTTTGTCTCACTAACAAGCAAGATTAAGCTCTCAGATGACAAATACTGCATGTTACTGTTGCATTCGCTTTATGAACTACTACTTATTCTCTCTCTTTCCCTCACACATACACACACACACAAACACACACACACAAGCGCACACACAGTGCAAGGTGCACAGATTTAAGCCCAACAGCAGTCATCCGCAGAAGAAAAGAGAGACCAAGCTGCCTTTCAGTCGAGAACTGGAAATTGCAAATGGCAGTGTGTTCAGGTAAAAGACTGTCACTGAGTTCCTCACCATGTTTACTCCTGGAAAATTGGGGAATAACAGGCTGTCATATGGTGACACATCAGCCTTTGTTAAAGAAATTACTTTGGTCTTCGCCCAGCTCTCTGATGCTCAGCCTCCTGCACAAATTGTCCATTTGGCGAGTGCAGAGTAAATGGAAGTGCGTCTTCTGCATGTTGCTCTACTGAAGCACAAAGAAGCAGGGCAGGTAGGAATCCAATTATCCAAGGCAAATAATGGATGTCTCATTTAAGATGTGCGGCTGTTGCGACAGTAATAGCGATGCCACAATTTCCCAGAAGTCACCCTCTATCAACTGCATCAACTTGTGCTCAACACTAACTTACCTTTAGCCATATACTACAAGCTGTCAAGCATCACAGATTATAAGAAATCTTTTGAAGGCGCAGGAAACATGGTTGTCAAAGATAGAATATTTACTCACATGTAGCGTAGGTGTGGGTTCTGAGCGAACGCTCGAGCCTGGATCACCCGCAGGTTGCAATTCATGATAGTTCTGAAACGAAAAATGATAAAATACAGATGAAACGGTGAAGAAACCACCAAAACAAAAACATTTATTTTCTTCATAGCCGGGGCACGTACAAATATGGGCACACAGTATCACAGTGAAATGATCACATAACAGTATCAAGGCCATGTTGAATATTTTTCTCTGTCACTTCTTTTTTCTTGGTGCATTTCATTCTGCTTGGTCTTCTCTGCTCCTTTGAAAATGTTTTGTCATTTGGGATAAACTGCAGATAAACTAGTTTAAATAAAAATGGTACTCTTGTAGAATGAGTCACAATTATCTGTCCACTCAATCTTTCATGGAAGTTGATGAAATATTTGTGAACTTGCATGTCTGTAAAGTGAGAGTGCATTCTCGCATGTTCCCTCATTGTGTTAACTTGTACAGGGTGAAATAACTGTGAAATTAAACAAATCCTCATTTTGCTGGGGACCCCATGGAATCCACTGAAGGAGTCCTGGAAATCCCAATGCCCCAGTTTGGGAACCTCTGTTCTGGGCTACAATGGTAATGACTTCTAATCTTGTAATCACAGATGTCTCTCTCCAAAGAAGTCATTGACATCATCAGCGAGCGCCTCATAACGCAGTGTGCTGATTATAGCCAGCTGTTGGTGCCAATTACCTTCTAGATGTCAGATCACACTACTGTGGTGTTTGACTGGGATGTGGCATTTCATCACCAAGAAGTTCCCAGAGTGGGGCTCTGGGGCCTCCAAGGATCCTTGAGAGGGTTTTTTGGGGTCCTTTGGAACCTTTTAATGGCTTCCCCAGAAAAATGAACAACGATAATTTCACTCCCCAGAAATTATCACAACAACAGTCGAGGATGACATTGAAATTTGCTTATAATCCTCCCAGCAGTGATGACAACAGTAATGACAATTATCCACACAATCATCTCTGCAAACAGCGGTGATTTAATTGTTGCTGAATTTAATGTGAGGCCTTAAACAAGTATTGGAGACACATTTAGCAAAAGGAGATGGAACAATAATTATTTTTGATCTATTAGCAACATACTGTATCTAAAAATTAGTTTTCGTAAAAAAAGAACCAACTGAAAGGCCACAGCTATTGACCAGAACCACCGCATATCCACCGCATGAAAGACATCTACAATCTACTTGAACATGTCGATGTTCAAATTTTATCACATGTTAGCACAGTGATGCACCTAAATAATGTCATGTCATGGTTATATTCGGAATTTTCCTTGTTAAAAAACCCCATTAAGAGACCAAAACTGGCAATTATTTGATCAAATCTTATTCCTGCCTGCCATAGAGTTGCATTGCTCCATACCCTACTCCCTCGTTGCCATGAACACACGTCATGTATTTTGATTTAATCCCACATACAGCATCCGGCTGCTGTAAAAGCTCCCAATACATTAAGACACTAAATGTGTATTAAGCCGCAGCTGAAAAAAGTCCCAAATTAATGCTCCAAAGTAAAAATATAATAATAATAAGATAATACATAAGATAATAAAGAATTTATATGTGACCTGCTTTTAAAGATATATGTTCTCAGTAGGAACCAGTGGGGCCCCAGAATTTTTTTTATTATTGAATTATTATATATCATCGGACATTTTACATATTTGTATTATTATGTATATATTTATATTTTTTATAATATTTTTTCACATTTTTATTGTAAATATTTTATTGTAAGATGTTTCTATTTATATTCAAGCTGACATGTAGTACTTGCTTTGCTTCATCTTTCTTACCATTTCTTCTTCTTATGCACCAAAACATCAGAGAAAATCCCTCATATGTGAAAACCTACTTGGCCACTTCTGATTCTGAAAGGCTGGGGACATACTGAGTCATGGACAATGCACTGTGGGTATTGGTCTCTCCGTGGTATTTGTTAAGAAGAAGAAAAAATACAATATCACCAGCTTTACCTTTGAAGGTAGCTGAATACAGTAAAAGTCATGAAACTGCAGCATATGTGGATAGCAAAGTGATACAGTGGTTAGTGCTGTCGCCTCACAGCAGAATGGTTCAGGTTTAAACCAAAGTTTGGCCGGGGTGGGGTCTTTCTGTGTTCAGTTTGCATGTTGTTGTCTCCCATTGTCCAAACCCATGCAGGTTTAGGTTACTCTAAATTCCCCACAGATGTGAATATGAGCATGAATGGTTGGTTGAGTCTATATGCCGGCCCTGTGATAGACTGACAACCTGTCCAGGTGGATGGATGGCTGGATATTGCATGCAGTATGTTACAAGAATATAACAATAAACAGGTGAGGGATGCAGTCAGCTTCTTATTCTGGAGATGTAGAGTTATATAACACATTTAATAAGTCCATTTTGTTTTTTCATTTCATTCAAATTCAGATGGAGGGGGGGTAAACTGTAAAATGAGGTTATGTAAAGTATCCTAGAGTAACTTTTTCTCACTCATCCCTCCATACCGCTAACAGCCCCACAAGACAGCATCACATGAGGTAACAGCCTTTCCTGGGAAGAGGTGGTGGTAATGAGAAAAATGCTAATTTAGTGGTGGAGATATTGCACTTGGCCTCCCTGATGAGGGATCAAGGGGATCAGGGGAGAGGCCAGCTCTGACTTTGGAGGGCAAAGGAGAATACGGTTGTCTGCAGAGAGAAAAAAAACAAGTGAGGAGGAAGAGGGGGTCATAGGCAGCGCCTGAGGGAGGAGCAGCAGGGGCGAGAGGAATGTAAAGGATGTGGCCTCATCGTGCAGGGTAGCAAAGCAGGAAAGGAGCGTAACATTGCTTTAAGAAGTGAAGAAATGAGAATTAAAAAAAAGTCACAAAGCTACAGCAGGGGCCTAATTCAATTTTCCCTGCTGCTTTTTAGCATTATTTGATCAGCGGCTAAGCAAAGCGAAGAGGATGTTCCACCGGTGTGTGACTTTCAAGAATTAAAAGCTTGTTTAAACATCAGCTTGTTTTAGGATCAGAAACACAACCTTCAGTCGCGCTTCTATATTCTCCTCTGAGAATTAGTCTGGATTGAGTCACATTCAGACAAGTATAGACATTAGCTCCCAGTACGTTACTGGTAATGCTGCAGCTGCAGTCACTTGTGTTCTCGTCTGGGAGAAAACCATCGGCCTCTCTGCATTGAGGAGACAGGCAACCTGATGGAAAACTGGGATTAACAGCGGTACAGGTTCCACTGTCCTTGTCCAAATCTGAAACACAGCAGCCCTGAAAAACAGTGAAGTGTCTGCGACTGCGTCTGTCTCCCCTCACTCCCCGCCAGATAACAGCATCAACACTCACAGTCTCTGTAGTCCAGTGTAGAGCTCCATATCAACGTCTCTCAGAGTCTGCAATCCTGTCCAGTTCTCTATGTGTCTGTAAACAGAAAGAAAGAGAATAGTAAATAAGAGATTCCTGTTAATCCGAGGAGAAAGGAAAACAAAAACCAGGAGACATGACGGGAGAAAACTTTTTTTTTTTTTTTCCAGTCCCAAATTGGAAAATAACTGGCTGTGTGTTGTCAAAGTTTTTGAATCCATATTCATTTAAACTGCAATTATTGGAACAGTTCTGACAGAGCGCTCTCTGCTGCCCTCTGATAGATTTAATTGCCAAGAGGCAGCTTCTGAAGCTTAATCTATGTGAAGGGAAGTTTGAGGGGACAGAGCAAATAAATACTGCAGATGACTTTACTTCTACTAATACTATCAGACTCCTAGGGAAAACTCTGTCTGTGTGATGGGATAAAAGAAGTAAAGCTGGCATCTTTAAATTAGCTTTAGGAAAAAGAGCATCTGTAAATGATTTGTTTGTTATGGTTTGGAAATAAAACTAGCGACACACACACACACACACACACACACACACAGGGCACACCCGTTTCAATTAAGCCAGGGAAATGAGAAGATGTAGCAGAGGACATGGCAAAGGCTTTATTGCTTTGTTTTGGAAAAGTAAAATATGATTAAATGCTAAAGGGAACTTCATCCTAAATGTCAAATTTCAAACCATGAACACAATAATCAGTGAGATACATGCAGAGGTTTTCCTACATGGCAGGGTGACAACTGTTCGTTTGAAAGGTGCTATAATGCAAACCTATGCATTCATATACAGTTTAGACATGCAGTACATAGAGACACATGCGCACATATCCTTTCACATAAAGGCCAGTCCTGCGGTCTGAGCCTAATATTGGAATTGCACTTAGATTTCATCACTTAGTATGAGTTCTGTGACCAGATAACAGTTTGTGATTTATGGCAACAGCAGGAAAAACAATTCTGCAATTGTTTTCTTTTTTTTTCATCCTTTGGCTCTTGTGCATCTGGTGTACAGAAATGAGGCAGCACCTGAGACATTTTGTTTATTTGAGCGCTGCACTCTGGGTGCATCACCTGCTTCCGGTGGAGAGAAGGAGATAGGTCTGCCAATTGTAACCAGCACTACCAGAACCCTGCCGTGCATGACTTTATTAGAGGCTGCTGAGTTACCCTTTTTTTTCTGAAGGCTGGCAGGTGGGAGAACATAAGTGGAGCTGTCTATGGATGTTTTTTTCCAGAAAATGAATTTTAAATTTCTGATTACATTGAGAATACCATCAGCGGTTTTGATTGTAATGTGAGCTGAAGCACAGGAAACTCAGGTTGGATTTGCCAAATGGTTTGGGAGATCCAAACTAAGTGCAAACAACATTTGTGCAGGGGTACCCGGTTTTTGCATTGGGTTTGTTTGCTTTAATCCAAACCAGATTCGATTGTTCCCTCCCCCCTGCTGGCCTGCTTTCATATTAGTTTACTGCTGCTCTGATACACTTTCGCTTGCATAGTCATCTTGTCAACAAAAAGCTTCAGTTTCTAGGAAACAATGTTGGCACCCAATTAACAATTGTCATTTCAAGTGTGTCCAGACAAATAAATATATACAGTGCACATATGAGTATTTCCATTAAAAATCTCATTGCAGCCTGTCTTTGTTTTACCAGGATACATGCAAATCATGGTCTGCTCCCCTCCAGTTAAGACAGTGGTGGTAGTGCACCTGCACTTTTAAAACTGCCAAAAACACCAGAAGATGAATAGCTTATGCACTTTAACAGTTTAGTTACAATAATTACTAGTTAGCCAGAAACTAACACAAACACATGGATGAAAGGTTTTCATGATGAGAGAGACAAGTTTTATCATCTCCATAGAATGGCTTTCACAGCAACACAGATCATTCAATGCTCAAACTGATCAGTTATCAGATAAATGCAACATCTCAGTGCGTAACCCTAACAAAATTTTTAACAGCCAAGTTTGGTGTAATTTCTGTTGCTTAATCCATTATCACATGTGACAGAGCCTGAGGATGGTGTCACAACTGAAGTGTAAAGCTTATGTTTGCATCTGGAAGCGACAGAGGCATTTACACATTTGCAGCATCTAGCTAAAATGCATTCACAAATGGATATCAGTCCGTCTTCAATGCCTGGATGAGTTAAACTTAGCTTTTTGATCCTGGACAACCCAAGATACATGAAGTAGTTAAGCACATACAAGGAGTATTAAATGTACAGTATGCAGGAGAAAATGGGGAACGAGCAAGCTGAGGTACAGGAATACAAAGGTGACCAACATTTAAATAAGTGGAATTATAAAATATCAATAGTGCGAAATTATGGGATTTAATAAACACTGCCAGTGTTACCAGTGTTAAAACTCGCTCATACGGAGGACAGCCACTTATTCATATATCCAGTCATTCATACTATCACTGTGAAGGCGCTACAAGCTGAAAACTGCACGCGAGCAATATGCATGTTTATGTGCGCAAATGTGGAAGTGTTGCCGGAAAACACATGGCAGCTGTAACTGCTTCGCAGTGGCAGAGTAACACTGCTGATGTTGAGATTAGTGTTGAACTGAAAGCAGCTGATTGTGAAGGCAGCGAGCTGAGTCATTAATGTGACCTGCGAGCAGACATGACGGATTCCCCTCACTGGGCTAGTTCACAGTGCTGCTGCGCTGCCCCAGTGACGGGCAGAAAGGGCAAGCTCACAGGAAGTCCGAGCCACACACTGGGGTCTCATGCGCTGTGAGGTTGGGGTCTTCGGGGCAAACGTGTGTGATTATTGTCAGTAAAAAGTCAAATAATTTAGGCTGTAATGCAGTGACTTTTACAGGCAAGCAAATCCCCCCCACCCAACAGCTGTTTACTACACCAGTGTCATGAATATGGACTGCGCTAAAACATACCTTTTCGTGGCAGTATTAGCAACATATCTAAAAATCACTTCCATCAAAAAATATTTACCATTAACTGACAATGACTCACTTCAGTGACAAGTGTCCCGCATTTTCCAACCTCGGGGTTGTTAATCTTTCCAGGTGTACTTTGTCGGGACTGTAGTTGGCGGGACCTTCGGTCTTGAGGAGTCCCAAGCATGTTTCTACTGACGAACAGCCTGAAGTGCACATACATTACACTGTGTTCACAGTTACACTGCTAACTAGCTTACTCTTCTCTGGCCGTCAGTATCACCGCTCACAACCTACGTACTGAGCTATTCCTCAGGGAGGCTGCACTACTCCTACAATATTGTGTCAAACTTCACAAACTTACTGCAGATATTACACATAGATGATGAGGAGGATTCGGAGTAATTAGCTAATTTACTTGCTACTGCTGCCTCTTAACACTTTGCAGCCTGCGATTACGTGTAATGCGTGCAATATCATAGCTGGACTACGCTCGAAAAATCAAAATTACCTCCTTTTCTAACCACTTTTCCTGGACCTCGATGGAAAACGTAATGAGGTTAAGAAAAGATGTCAAGTACATTTCATATGGGGAAAAGACAACCATCGTGCTGAGACTCGGACTCCTTTTTTTTCTCTTTTTTTTAAACTAACTTTATTTATAACATTTGGCTCAATACTCATTTTCTAACCACAAGGAACTGAGAAAAAGGCCAGAATAAATTATATTCTGACTCAAGTATATAGTTTCTTGACATAGGCGCTTTTTACATTTCTATACAATTGTTAAATGGAAAAAAAATAATTCCTAGCCATTATTCATTGTGTATTCCAAAATTGGTGGGGATTTAGTGAAACGACATTTACGTAGGCCTATAGGCTAAAGCATTTTACTATGATGATGATATTAACTATAAATTCAATATGCATTTTCTTTAAGATGACTCCTAACTGGACAGATATTGAAAGAGAAGAAATCTATATTCATGGATTTGGGTTCAGTCAATCATATTACTTCCGGGTCACTTCCGGGTCATTTCACTCAGTTAGGAACCGTCCTAAGCAAAATTGACTTTTCAACCGCAGCCAAGGCAAGCCCGCCAAGCACACTTTAGCCATCGTCACTCGTCAAAGATCCGAGGATTATCTGCAATGCGCATGTGCAAACTCCCACAAAAAGGCTGATGTCCTCTCCACTTAACAAGCCCAAGCGTTTGTCAATGGGACACAGGTCTCACCCTTAAAAATTACAGAAATTATAAATTCAATGGCTGGAAGTCAAACTAGCTTCAGAGACAATAGCCTGCCTCCACCACAAGAGGGCAGTAAATTACATGATGAATGCAAACAGGCATTAGATTCTTTGGGTCAGAACTTTGTTCTGAGATTAGATGTAAGGACAGATATCGCTTCCCCTTCATTATCGTTCTAATTCATATCTATTTTTAGCTTTAACTGGGCAAGCACTGATGCCTTGCTTGCCCTGACGGCAAGCAACTGCTATAATATCAGGTGTTTGACAGTCTGACCTGCCGATTCTGATTCTATTTCTAAGAGCTATAGCTGACAATTGCACAAACATTTTGTAATTTTTCTTTGGTGGACAACTCAAATGTATGTTCATAATGAAACACTGACTATTTACTATTAAATAACTGGGGGAAGGTGTCTCTCTCTCTGCCTCATGTGGCATTAGTTTTAGCAGCTTCGTGTTTGCTAGCTTCTTGAAATAGGACATGTCCAGCAGGGTGATGCTGGTGCTTTAAGTGTCAGACCTCTCTGTAGTTTTCATGGTTTTTCCCCCACATCTTACTTTGGCCTTACAGGCTTTGTGTCTTCTTCACTCACGGTGAAGAAGTTCCATGCCAACGGTGTGTTATGTGTGTGTGTGTGTGTGTGTGTGTGTGTGTGTGTGTGTGTGTGTGTGTGTGTGTGTGTGTGTGTGTGTGTGTGTTTGTCTGTGTGTAGCTGTGTCTGTGCTGTTGTGTGCATGGCATGAACAATCGTGTAGTGCATGAGTGTAAATTTGACTGGCACAGAATCAGATATCTGAGACTGATCAACCAGTCACCAATCATAGCCGATCACACTGAACACCCTCTGCCTTCTCCGATTGTCAGCCGATTGATTGGT